CAACACTTCAAAGTGCAAGGTAGTCCATCTGAGACATGTTGCAGACTATAGTTACAACTTAGGAAACTCCTCTCTAGAAGTTTCCCAAGTCGAAAAATATTTTGGAGTGTTGGTACCCTACGACCTGAAATCGTATGAGAACTGTGACAAAAACGTCTTTCAAGCAAACCATGCACTGGTAACATTGAAGCACATTTTCGGCCAGTTTGACGGTAGAACCTTTCACATAATCTTCAAATTTTATTCGTCCCCATTTAGAGTACGGAAACATAGTATTTCCTCCCTCTCTCCAAAAGGATAAGGTCACTCTGGAACGTATACAACGTCGAGCCACGAAATCAGTTCGGGGACTCAAATTCAAACCTTATGAAGAGCGCCTCAAATCACTTAACCTTTACCCGTCAGAGTACAGGTGTCTTAGAGGTGACCTTCTTTTGACTTACAGTATCCTTGATACTTCTGGTCATCCACTTAAACACCTTAAGCTTAGTCATAACACTAACCTAAGAAGTCATTTAAAAGGACAGTGGTATTGTTTCTCGTTGAGTTAAATTCACTGTTTTGATCGTAAATTACGTATCAAAACTACTGTTTACACTTTAATTGAATTTATTTCAGTTAACGTGACATTGTATTTGTGTGTTTTGATCCTGCTTTTGTGTATTTACTGCATCAAAGCATTCTTGGTCGATTGCGGCTTGATTATTTGATTAAGGTTGTGATTTGTCTTACATATCTACCTTGCCTATCATTTTGTTTCATTCTAAGATGGTCGGCTCTGCACACAAGTGTGGACAGCCATATTGCTTATTCCCCGTGGAAGAAGGGATGCAATGTGATTATTGTAAAAGTGATTTCACAAAATGTGCACCCGCTTAAGCCCTGCTGCCTATAAAAGGTGCTCGAAACCCAATTCTCATTGGCTCTGTATGTTTTGTTGCTCAAGCAAGACATTACTCATTCAGGAAGCAATTAGCTTTCTAGCGTTAGTTAAAAAGGTCGATGTTGGCCATGCCAGCAACATGGATACTGGTAACGAAGATTGTATCAGTGTTGTAAATGCTGCCATGGCAGGTACCAGACACCCAATTTGGCAACACGATGCAAAAGTTTCTACTCCGATACAACCAATGAAAGACATGCCATTAAGTACTGAGGGACAAGTTGCTTTAGCAGCGACTGAGGACCCAGCTAGAATCACTATCGTCCACAGTAGTTCCAATCTGGATGCTGAGACTAGTGGGAAATGGATTACGCGGAAACGTAAAAATACCCAAAGAAAGCGCGCGTATAGTCGATAAGTCCTCGTTGGACTCACGTCCTGCGCATCAGGCAACTCCGCTCAAGTCCAAATGTAAGAAAATATTTAGTACTGTTGTGGATGGAAATAGTCTAACTTCACCAAATGTTGTTGGGAGTAACTCACTTGACCCACATAACACTGTGATAAAGAAAGCTAATAGCAAGAAGCCGCTAGCTAACCGGCAGGATCTGACATCACGGTCAAAGGCCGTGAACACGACTTTTAAGGAAGTTAAACAGGTCCCTAGTGTACTGGAACTTGGAAGAATCGAAAGACACCGATCCCGCTAAGAGACATGCCCACGACCTGCAGTTAGTCGGATCTCTCATCAGAAATATACTGCCAGAGGAGGTCCCAGGGGTACATATCTCGAAAGTCATCAGACTGGGTAAATATATTGGAGGCGAAACCCAACAGAGAAGGATCCTTAAACTAGTACTCGGTAATTTTGAGGAAAGGGACATAGTACTGAATAACGCACGCAAAACTCGTGACTCAAACATTCGTATTCGACCTGACTGGCCACTTGAGGATCGGATCAAGTGGAAGAATGCCCTAACAGAGTTAAAAACACGAAAGCTAAACGGTGAAGCGAACCTTACGATTAAGGGTTTTCGGGTAGTCAGATCTTGGAAGTCAATACTTCCGAGACCTGTGTGGGTAGAACGCATGTCTCCAAAAACACCCTAAATGTGTGTTATACGAATGCTCGTAGTCTTCGGAATAAGATGTCTGAGCTAAGTTTGATGGTAGACGAATTAAATCCGGATATAATTGTTATCACCGAAACTTGGCTCACTGTAGATATAGACTGTTCTCCAGTCATTTCAGGCTACATATGTATCAGAAGTGGTAGAGTTAGAAGTCGCAAGGGAGGAGGCATAATATTATATGTTAGGGACCACTTCCGCATAAACTCGATCACATCGGAGGCGCATGTAAGTGGTACATGTGAGGTTGTTTGTTGTACAATAAGGTCTAGAAACGGGTTAGTGACGATAGGAGGAATATATCGTAGTCCGTGTTGTCTCGCTGACGACTTTATCCTAAAACACGTCTGTTCTTGGAGTAAAGCAGAATGTTGTCTCATCGTTGGAGACTTCAATGCACCCCATATAAACTGGATAGAGCTCACAGCTCCAGGTGGGGGTTTTGATAGCGTCCTTCTGTCATCAATTATTCAATGTGCACTTGTACAATGTATCGTTAAGCCGACGCATATAGACTTGGAACATAATCCGTCATTGATAGACCTTGTCCTCACACACCACTGTGAAGATATCGTTGACATTCAACATCTTCCCCCACTGGTGAATAGTGACCATGTCGTACTTTCCTTTAAGTTCCGGATACATGGTATAGAATTTGCAGCAGCTCCACCCCGTCCTAATATCTGGAGAGCTAATATTCCGGCAATCAGGGACTATGCTATCTCAATTGACTGGTCGGTCGATGCTGATGGATGGATTGATAATGCATGGAATAGGTTTAAGTCTACGTTCGAATCCGTAACTCAACCGTTTATCCCATGGTCAGCACGTAAGTTATCATATTGCCCTCCATGGATTAATAAGGAAACCCGGAAGCTGTTGAAGCGTAGGAAACACTTCTGGGACTTATTCTTGTCAACAGGTCAGGCATCATTTAAGTGCGAATATAAAAAAATCCGGAATATATGTAAAAAGACCATAGCTAAATCCCGCACGGCTTACGAACGACAGTTGGCATACGATAGCCGTACCTGTCCGAAGCGACTGTTTTCGTACGTTAAAAGGCGGACGAAACGTAGTGATGGTATCCCCTCATTACTGTTAAGCGAAAATTCAGCTTTATTGGCTGAATCTGACCTAGCGAAAGCGGAGACATTTGCTAACTATTTCAGTGAAGTCTACTCTACGTGTAGTGCTACAACTACTTGTCCCGTTGACAATGAGATACCAGCCATAGGACCTTTACATGTGACAGAGGATATAGTTCTTCCTTTGATAACTAACCTAAAACCTTGTAAGATACCGGATCTCGTTGGGTTACACCCACGTTTGCTGTCATCGCTTGCGGACATTATCTCAAGACCGCTCACGATGCTCTTCAACATGTCCCTTTCACAGGCTCAACTACCTAGAGACTGGAAAGACACCATAGTTAGTCCTATATTTAAGGATGGTCAGAGACGGATCGTATCTAACTACCGGCCTGTTAGCCTGACAAGAATTGTAGTTAAGTTACTTGAAAAATTAATTCGGGCTAAGCTACTGAGCCACATAGATTCGTACAATCTGTTAACGTTATTGTTTGCGGATGATGTTAACATTTAGAGAACAATAAGAGATGAGACTGATCGTTGTTATCTGCAAGCAGATTTAGACGAATTAGTTAGGTAAGCTCATGACTGGGGCCTGGAAGTTAATTCCAGGAGGAGCGTGTTCATGCACATCGGGCACGATATTAGTTACCACTATACCATTAATGGTACATCTCTTCCACGCGTTCATGCGCACAAAGACTTAGGAGTAATTATAAGTCACGACCTGAAAACTACTACGCACTGCGATGCGGTTGCTTCCAAAGGCTACCGAGCGCTATGGTCGCTTCGCAGAGCATTTAAATGCTTTGACGAGGATATGTTTCGAATTTTATATCCCACCTATGTAAGGCCACACTTAGAATACTGTATCCGAACAGCTAGCCCTTGTCTGATAAAGGATACTAAATCGCTTGAGCGTGTCCAGCGTGTAGGGACAAAATTAGTAAAGGGTCTTTCTAAACTCCCTTACGATGAGCGTTTTAAACGTCTAAACCTTTTCCCCTTATCTTATCGTAGGACACGAGGTGACCTTTTACTGGCATTTCGTATCTTTAATTATGATCTGGGCGTTAATATGTCTTATCTTTTTGCTCCCTCCAGCACTAATAATATCCGAGGTCATAGCAAGAAGGTTCTGAAACGGCGATCTAATAAACTAAAGGTGTGGTTCCGTTTTTCTCATCGAGTGGTCAATGACTGGAACGCTTTACCAGAACAAGTGGTATCAGCACCATCAGTGAACATTTTCAAGAAGAAGCTGGACCTTCACTGGAAGGAAATCTGTCAGGATTAACACAGGTTCATCAACCTACTATCCTTATTACTGAAGACTGAAGGTAACGCCCAGAAATTGGAGACCCTACATAGCAGAACAGACTGTAGACACAACCTCTACCCCGTAAGAGTTGTCAAGTGCTGGAATTCGCTGCCGACTGAGCTAGTCCAAGCGACCTCCCAGGAGTCCTTTAAGAGGAAACTTGACCTATTCTTAAGGACTAAGGATAACATATTATTATGATTTACCAAATTCATTTTTTCCCCTCTATTATCGTTCATGTACCTAGGTTTTTGCATGGAGGTATTGGTGATCCACTGCTACTAGATACGGAAGCCCGTTAAGCGAAAGCTTCTTCTATTCCGTCCTCAACCATTTGAACCATTTGAAGGTGTGACCTTGACTAAGGGACCTTGTCGGGACATTTGTCAACACAAGTATGGTGTTAAGCTATAACCCCTTATAACATAATATACCTTTGGAGATATCATGTCTTCTCTGCATATATCTCAGATGTTTTTTCTTATAAGGTGATGTTTTTGTCTTGTTTGGTTATATTAACTACATTTTATTTGCTTGGTTGCAACTAAACTGTTTAGGTTATTTGCTTGGGCCCAATGAATTACCATAAGTACTTTGCTCCTCTGTGTTTTCGAAATCCTGGTTTTAAATCCAAATCCTTATTCGGAGGACGTTACCTCATCAAAGAGGCTGTGACACGTTGGTATAATAGACCTCATTTATCCTTATTAACAGGAAGATTGAATACTTCTGACTCCAAAAAAAGCGAAGGGAATGTTTCAAACCCAGATATGTCCAAGAACCTTCCAGATGATGTAAATCCTGAAAGCGGTGAGAGAGGAGGACCTTGTGGCCCAGAGCCAACGCGATATGGGGATTGGGAACGTAAAGGACGTTGTATCGACTTTTAATGATAATGGACAATATTCGGACTAGTTTTTGTAGTGACTTTGTACATGATGTCAATTTTAGCCAAATAAATGATTGTCGAAAGCTTTTTTAATTTTTATATTGTTCGTGTACCAATATATATTTATGTTTTGACGGTTTTAGGTTGAATAATGATCAGATGGCTTCAAAACAGAGAACTAACTTCAGTTCACAGTGTTCCATCTATGGATCTCAGTTGTGGGCTGAAATCTTATCATTTACGACAGATATTGCCTCAGGACGCATTAGATGATATATTCCTTGGTTTTTCAGCAGATGGTTGCTTCTTGATTTCATACAAAAATGATTTCAAACATCATGTACTTAGGTTTTGGCTCTTTCCACCAAGTTCTAACGAAAATCTTGGCCCAAAGCTTACTCTGCACAGTGAGAGAAAATTTTTAAGAACAAGTTACTGCACAGATCTTCATAACGTTCCATGTGTTAGGTTTGTACAGTCCCTGGCGGTTTCCAACTCCTTTTTAATTCTTGCATGCAACGTAAGCACCCTCACAGCTGATGTGATCTTTTCCGTTTCTAAATTAAGACGGGGTTGACCCATATTGATTTGTTTATCTTACCCAGTAATGGCTTTTTATTTTAATCGCTACAGGTCGCTTCACGTAGTCATCGGCCTTTACATGAACACTTCTTAGCAGGATATTTTACAGAGATCTAATACCTAAACTCACATCAGCTATGGCTATCTACTTTATGCGACCTGTATTCTGTTTTGCAGTTACACACCTTGAATTATTTCAGGGATTTTTTTACTATTTGGAGGTTTTTTATGATCGTGAGGTATATAAATGATACATCTACTTACCAAAGTTTGTGGTAAAATCTAGCCTTCCAAACGTCGGTAATAACAGTGAAAGTTCATTTGACATCGTCTTATCCCTCTTAAAGTAAATAGTTCGTAGGAACTGACCTGTATTAAGGCCTAATCTGAGTTTAAAAATCTAACTTTTGCGTGTGTGTATTATCTTACTTTTCTTGAAGGTTTCATACCCACTGATTTTATAGTTTAAGAAATCACAGCATGCGTGCAAAACGCTAGCTTGACTCTTATGATGTGCTACTGCTAAAGCTGTTCATAGTGTCATTTTGTTTTTTCAGGAAGGAAACATGTGTTTTACTAGTCAACTTTGTTTGCTAACGTTTTAAATAAATCCTAAAAGTGTTGTAGAAAAATGTAGGTTCCTCACGGACGACAAGTTCGCTATGATATGATCACCTAGAGATGATAAATCCGTTAGTGAAGCTATAGATCTCCAAATTAAGTTTTTCGGGTTTTGAATATATTTTAGGGAAAACCAAACAGTCAAATCAATATCTGTTGATCTTAACGGTTCAAGTAGGTACAGACTTCTTAATCGGCGTTCGAGAAAAAGGTCATCTATGATTGATACTTTGACTCGTTTAATCCAACATCATTCACAGAGATGCGGAAGCACCTCCTGTGACACACTCAGTTCGAGTCGGTTAACATGCAACTACCAATCTTTTGTTATTGAAATATTTCGTCCAATATTCAACAAAACCTTGGGGTTTATTAGGTTTTTTTTCGGCAAAACGTCTGTTTTTACTATTGTTGACTAAAATTTACATCATTTATATGGCGGATTAATAACTTGGTTCAGACTCTTACACCCTACAACAACACAGGAAAAGCATACAGAGAATTGAATATTTCGAAACAAGTGACGACACTTTCTACAGGGGGCTTAGAAAATGTGATATGCTTAGAAGTTTATTAAAGTGTTTGTTATAACTGTATTTTTGCTATATAAACGACCCAGCTATTCCTATTGCTTAGTATTCTTATCCAATCACACTCAACAAGACCCCAAAATCAGAACACGTTGAACAGAAATGAAATTGTATTCAGAATAACAATGGTATGTGAACAGCAATCACTGATTTGAATAACGTTCATATATTTATAGTATATACATAAGAAGCTTCTAAATTTTTCTCCAATAATTTGCCCGGGCTGATCGGTTTAGAATTAGCCAGTCAGCGCGCAGCAACACCATCATGCATGAAACATGCTTTAATCCAATCTATGTCCCGCTAACAGTGTTATTTTCTTGTCAACAACTTTAAAGAACTCCACCAATGGAGCTGGACAAACTTAATTTTTCGCTTTGGCGACGTCAGAAATGTTTCGTACCTAAAAGTGTTTGATTCCATACAATGCGGCAAATAACTGCAGTTTCTCGTTTAATGTTGGTCGTCATAAATTATCCTGATTTGATAGGTGTTAAAAGTTTGCACTGCCTACAAGTTCAGAACAGCGTTGAAAGAAATTCTAAATGGATAAATATTTTCTGTGAAAGATTTCTTGTTCTCTATTTTTAATACCTAGAATGATGGTAGTGGGTTTGTTGCTGCGTTTGGTCTTATGCCAGATTTAGATTGCGATATCTGTTCCGAGGCATCATCTGCTCATAACTGTTTACCTAATAAATCCACTTGCAGTATTCATTCGCATGTGCTGCCTCTTAATCTCGATATATCTCTTGCTCAAGAATCCCCCATCCCAATAAGAAGTAACAGAAATACTTTGAATTTCCAGAAGATTTCATCCCGGTGCACTTCCCATTTCGTACCACCATGTTTACGTTCATTTGACGAAAATTCTTGTTCCAATAACGCTAATCATTGTAACGGCTATTGTTTCACTTCGACTGGCTTGCCGATTGGAAGGATTCATGTTGGCGTTTCTCCAAATACTGGACATTTACGAATCGCGTGGGCTAATCCGGATGCACAAGTTAAAATAATATCCTGTTCTTTCAAACCTTCTACTAATTCTGGTGATTTTTCCTTTTGCACACTACCTAAGGTATTATTATTAACTGTATTTTCACTTTTCCATTAATAAAAACTTTCAATGCTTTTCTAGTGTGAGTGAAACGAAGAAAAGTTGGATTGCAAAATAATCTCCCCACAATGTCTGGTTTATCTTTGAGTTTGGATATAGTTTTCATTTCGAATTCGTATTAGCTTCAAGTTCTGAACAACCTTCCAATACTAGTTTAGGATTTATCAGTAGTAGACATTTACGATCAAAATGAAACTTCAGACTTGGCCGCCAGTGCTATACCATCCAACCATTGAACCAGATCGAAACCTTACACATTTATGCTATAATGTTGATATCATTTAGTATCACCGATTTAAACCTACGCGAGAAATATCTAATGACGGTGAAACAAGTATTCAATGTTTCCTGGATATCATTTTTTTGTAGGTGGTATTTTGATGACACATCTTTCACATAGAACATGAGAATTGTGTTTTAATTATGCCAACTAATTGTAGTTGTGACAAGTGCTTAAACTAAATATTGCATCATAGATCAATTTCATCAAAATTGATTCTGATATTATTAGGATCACTAAATACTCGAACTCTGTGAATTCTTTTTTTTAATGTACTAAGGGCACTTCCACATCAATCGGAAATTACCCTGAATCATTGAGTTATAAACCTCCTCTTATCACACATAATTATTGTTCAACGTGCTATTCGTGGCCGGATGAAAACGAACTGTGTCAAGAAGAACATAACTCGTCAATAATATCTAGTTTAAATTCTTCGAAATGCATTTTTTCCCAAGATTCACTCAATGTTTATTTGGTTAGTGATGCTTCAGCATGGCCGGATAATCACTCAAATCTACTCGTAAGTTCGGTCGTATGTTTTTCCAAACAAGTCTAAATCATATTTTCATTTAAAGTTTTACTACTAAAATAATTTGGAAACGATTCCAGTTTCTACAGTTTAGTTTGCTGTGTTGTCATGCATTCCAGGTGAGTCATTTCTTCAAACTTTGTACGGTTATTGTTTAAACTATTCTAACAACGTGGGATCTGAAATTAGTGTATACTAGTTGGAGTCGATACAGTTTAGTTCAGTACAGAGAAAGCCTAAACAATATTATCATTATTAATAGAAACTGGATATAGATAAGACAGTCAGTTGGTCATCACGAACATGAAGTTCGACAGGGTTTTGTATTAACTCAAGTTTTCATACCACATTAGCAGGATGAGATGGATGTAACAAAATATAGAGTGAATACATCTACGCCATTGTGGATGATTCTGAACCATCTCACATAGTCTCTAATCTCTGATTGCGTTTATCGCATGGACCAAAACCAGGTGATTCAGATCAAGAGTTAACAACTTCACAAGGTCATTACATCGTTGGTAAGAGATTCTTGGGTCTTAGTCGGTGACACCTCTTACCAGATTCTTCATAGGGTTCGAGCATTTAAAGCTGCAATATGTAGTTTGAAGCCTCATTTCTGATATAGCATTGTGTGTACTCAAATCATCAACACTGGTGGCGTAAGTAGAAGCTGAACACAGAAGAAAAGGGTTCATAGTGCAAATAGAAAGCACTGTTGAAAAATAAAGAATGACAGCAGAGGGTGTAAAATGGAAGGCAAGAGTTAAGACTAATGGTCGAATCTTAAATTTTTAAAATTTCAGTTAGCTAAAAATCCTTATATTTCCCGGTTAGTTTCATTGTCTTTTGATCTCACTTCATTTGAGGGATAGTATCAATTACACAGTCTCGTGAACAATTTTCAGATACAGACGCAAATTATCATCATTCATGGTATATCAGTCGGAGTCCTATTTGTCACTTTACTAACTGACATGTGCCCATGAAGAGATAAAAAAGGGATGAAAAACATCAAATAATAAAGCTTCCAGATTTGGAGGATGATAGCGAATGGATGCATCCACGTCATCGCAACTAGTCTTGTTAATCTGTATATATCTTACAGCAAGAGGATACCATCCATATACTGATCGTGAAAAGTCTTGGGATGGTAGACTTAAACCATTAATACTCATCTCATATTTGTTTCCAAAATATCTTTTTTTTCAATATTTCTGACAATTATTTTTTCTAGCCGGATGGTGCTGAGAGGATATACCACAACTGTTCAGGAGAA